TGGAGGTTTGCATAATGCAGCAGTGCTTTCATGAACATCACAAGCATGTTCAATATGATTAAGGTCAGGAGATTTGGTTGGTCAATCTATTCATGAATGTCTTCACTTTCTAGATAGTCATCAACCAGATGAGCTTTGTGTAGTCATACATTGTTGTCCATAAAAATGAACTCAAGGCCAACAGTGCCCCTGGAAAGTCACACATAGGGCTCTAGAACTTCCTGCCTGTACCTCTGGGCATTCACGGACCAGTGTCAAACACATGGAGCAGTGTGCGGGTGTCTTGCATAATCCCTGCTCAGACCACCATATTGATCCCTTTCTGTAATGTTGCTGGGATGATATTAGGTTCCAGGACTCCTCCACATCAATAATTGCTAAGAATCAGGTTGTAGACTGAATCTGGACTCCTGTGTAAAGAGAACAGCTGTGTCCAGTGTTAGTATTGTATGCACCATTGTAAATGCTCTTTTTTGTGGGAGTGAGTAAGTGGGATGCAAATAGTGGGCTTGCGGCATACAGTTCCAGTTTCAGGGAGCCTTCTGGCAACTGTCTTCCTTGAAACTGATGTTTCTTATGGCAATAGCGAGGTCACAAGACAGTTGTGTGGCTGTAGACATCTTCTTGCGCTTGGCTGAAAGTACCAAATATCGGTCATAATCAGTCGTTGTGGCACTCGAGCAACAATGCCTTGGTCTTCTGGATACTGACCTGCTGTTTTTCAACTGATTCATGCAAATTAGAGATGACACTTGTTGTTACATCCAGTTTTCATGTAACCTGAGCATGGAACTGCCCTGCCTCAAACCTACCCACGATTCTGTATCTCATACCTTCGTCTAAATGTTGATGTGTACTCATTTCACCTAAAAAACATCAAAAAACAATAAGGTTATTCAAGAAAGATAATGAAAATCACTACTGTGTTGCAGAGTGGAATGAGCTGAGCAGCTAGATGTGGACTTTACTACCTCCTGCTGTCATAGTGATGCCCATAGGAATGTGTAAACTCACTTCAATGATACCAGCACTACAGTGACATGGCAACCAGGTGTCCAAATTTTGTGTTGTATTTTAGGAGAAATAAGGAAAAATGTTTTCCATCTCTTAATTTTGTCCATTAGTGTGTATATGAGTTATCCACATCTCTACCCTAAACAATGTTAGCATATCAGATACTAGTGGAACAAAAAGTTGACAACTTAACCAAACAGATTAATGAGCTAAAGGCATTGGTTCAGAGACATCATAATAGTTTCTGGAGTCCAGAGACTAAACAAGAAAATGTAATCGCCTTGCATATATAAACAAGTGGAAAACTAGAGTGGTGTTTGCCTGCTGGCTGTGCTAACAATCACCATATTAATCACATCCTCTTGGCCAACCCCAAATCTAAGTTGCAGTTTCTTAAAGATATTGCTGTCAGCATTTGAGTCCTCTCTAAAGGATATGCACCTCACTTGACAAAGTTGGATAAACTAGATTTGTATTCTGCAAATGGTAGGCAAATATCTGCCTTCTGTAACAAGTGCTTCGCCCTCAATTTTCAGTTTAAGATGTCTTTTCATTTGGAATTTCATAATGGCTGATATGAAGTAACTAGTCATCGGCATTGACTTTCTAAAGTACTCTACTTTGTTTATTGTTGCCTGAAACTATAGCATAGTTGACAAAAATACATTGTTGATTTCTCATTGTACAATTTCTGATTCATTACTGTACAATTTCTGATTCTGATTCACTAACCAAATACCATCAAAATTAGCTATCCTTCCTCAGGTCCCCAACTTCTCTCAGGTTCTGTCTCAGTATCCACTGCTCACCAGCCCTTTGCAACTAGAGTCGTAAGTAGAACTCTTGGGCTCGTGTGCAAAACATTTCCCTGGGCCCTCTCAATAAATTTGTGCTTAAAAAAAAGAAAAAAAAAATTTTTTTAAATCAAGTATTCTAGGAGCCAATGTTTTGATGATGATTTATTCAGATCTGGAGTAACTGTTAAAAAATAAAAGCATGTTCTTAGGGACCTAGTTAGGTACATAACATAAAGAAAGAATAAAAAGAAAAATATTTTCCCTTCACCAATTGTGAAATGGTATTACTTTAGTCTGGGTGTACTTTTGACATCAGATGATTTTAATCAGTTTATTTAAGATTTTTTGTTTACATGCATGTGAGTGTTAGAGACAGATTTTTCTCTTCTTTCACTGAGATACATACTGATAACAAATCAATAAGTCTACATAAAAAAGGAACATGTTGATATATCATTAAGAAAAGGAAAAAAGATTAGATTTGCAGAGATTTTTAAATAAAATCCAGTAGATTTTACATACAAATATATTTTGAGTTTTTATATAAAATCTGTGCTAATCTACATTTTTTTGCTTAATTTAACAAACTAATAAATAACTGGTTATTTTATAAATTGGAGACAACATAATAGGTAAACGAACAAAAAAGAGATTACACTAATATATAGTGCTCTGTGATTTACTCAGCTTACGAACATGACATATGCAATAATATACAAATAAGAACCTTTATAAGGTAAATGATACATTTGTTAAATATAAACATATTTATCATAAATTTCATAAAGAAAACTGTGAACGTACAATTTTTGTAGAAAATGTGTATGGTAATTATTTTATTTTAAAAATATTTTTTGGCACATTAAACTACTGAAATACATGATTTTTGTAAAAAAAATATGTATGATAATTTTTTTTCCATTTGATTTTAATTTTTCTCACTCCATACTGCTCTTCTTCTCTAATGTTTGTTCATAATTAAGTGTAATTATAACACAGGAGGCCAAAATTCATCATTAAGACAAAAGTCCTTCTTTATTAAAATTTGTAGCTCTTAACCTTCATTTCTGAAAAATTATTTTTATCAATACCTAGTCATCCATTTTCTCAGCTTCAACACTCAATAGTGATAGGTTTGACAATAAATCTTGTGCCATAGTGTTTCTCAAATATGTTTTTATTAATTTCAGTTTTAAAAATGATCTCTTACTTGTGGCTGTAGTTACAGGTAATGATAAATACAATATCAATGAATTCCACACTTCCAAATATCTGCTTGTGATATGTCATAATATTTTACCATTGTTAATTTTGCTAAATCCTTAATGGATATCAAATTTTGGATTTTTGTTCTGAAAGTATTTATAAATAATAGCAGTTATACTTCCAGTGCATTAGTAAAATTTGCTTTAGATGTTTTCTGTATTTTTGAGACATTATTAATATTATTCATATTTGTAAATGATGACAGAGCTTTAGGTTCCAAAAAGGAAAGCGTCATTGCAATTTTTGTCAGTCCAGTCATTCTGTATTTTAATTGAGTATTTAAAATATCGACAACAGTGTAAAAAAACTGTTACTTTAAAAGGTATTTTGCAATTTTCAAGCCTGTTATCCTTATGTAAGTCATCAAAAAATTTTTGTCTTTATTTATTTTATTTATTTATTTATTAATTTTTACCCCAAATTTGGTTTCTGTGGCCCCTCTATTTGCAATAAGCTCAGCTTCTTTCGTTATATTTGTTTTTTCAAAAAGCAAAGTTTGAAATTTTAACAGCCACAAAACATTTTATTTAAAACCTTTCAGTAGCATAAATGATTTTTCTTCTTTTAACCGTTTGATCTTGTACATAAATTGCATTTTAAATTAATTTAGGTGTATTTTCATTAATTAAAGAGTTAATGGCGCTCCGATGCCGTTCTATAGCAATAGTAAACAATATCAAAAAAGATGTAAACAGATTAAGACACAATAACGCGCCGAATAAATACTGATTCAGAAGTCAAACAACAAAATTTTTTCAATTCAATTTTGTGAATTAACGCTATTTTTGTTGTTTGACTTCTGAATCATGTAAACAGATGTTTGAAATCCGTTTGTTCTTTTCGCATGTGTGACATCATTGCTCGCATTGGCTTATGGGTTAAGGGATGGAAGATGATGTGCATCTGAACCGGTCCTGAGGGCGAAACTGTTTCATATCCCCGTTTCTCCCTAATACAAGCGGTAGCTGCGTGAAAGAGCGTTGCATGTGAACGGGGCTCAATTGTTCACTGAAGTTGCAACCTCTTAAACTCATCCCTGCTTTACAAATATTCTGTGACATAAGTGGACCAGACCTTATATTGTGCATAAATTTCACGGTCAGATCTTCAATTCGCTGCACAACCCGTCATGCCCAAGCATCCATGCTAAGGAAAAACTCAATGTTTGGTTGCAAAATGAGCATCGAATTACATTTTTTACATAGTGATCTTGACAACTTCATAAAAAATCTTGGTGCAGTTAGTGATGAGCAGGATTAGCAATTCCAGCAAGATTTGAAGATTATGGAGGATGGGTACTAAGATAAATGTGATGTGCATATAATGGCTGACTAATGGAGCACTAAGAGACAATGTCCACGGATTAAACACTCCAGACAAAAGCCATAAGCAAAAAATTTTACTTTAATGTATATGTTTACCGTTTTTTAAAATAAAAAGACTTTACTAATTATATGAGTAAAATTATTCTTTGCAAATAGTATATTTGGTAAGTTTTCCCATTATTTTCCTATATGCATATTTTGTATGAGTTTTGAGACATAGAGAGGTTCTCCTATAGCTTAAAAAGTTGACATGAAAGATAAAAGCTGAGGTTATTTTTCTGTATTCAGAGACCAGAATTTTCAGAAAACAACTGACAACGAAATTGCTGTTCCCCAGTGAATTGAAAGTAAAATTTTAAAAAATTTCCTTAAATGCAAAAGAGCAAGGGTAATCTCCAACAAGGGATGGACAGGTCTAGTTGTCTGATGAAGAATTTTAGAGTTAAGCTATTGTTGTGTATATGAACTAATGTAAATGAAATCAACTGTTTGTAAGTTAAAATTTTCTTTACATTATTTTATTCATATTTTGTGTAATCATGTGTTACCTATCAATGAGATTTTCTTGTTCATCTGGTTTAATGTTTATTATTTTCAGAATGCGATTTCGCAGGCCTAAAAAGCGACATAGATATACTCTGTTACAAGATTTTTGTGAGAGAGAGAGGGAAAAATTCTTTCCCAAAAGTAAGCAGTTTATTTTATTTGCATAAGTTATGATATGTAATTAATTTTAAAGACAGATAAATGGTTAGTCAGCCAGTCAAAATCAGTTTTTAGGAAATAATAATCTATGGATTATCAAAAATATTTTGTTTTTTGTTCTTGTATGCTTTCCATTTATAAAATACCCATTTTTGATTTTATTCAACCTTTTTAATTTCTTTGCAGAAAACCAACAAAAAAGCAGTTTAGATGTGTCAGATACAGAGTGAGATAAGTTTCGAATCATTAACCATCGTTTAACTGGTAGAGCTTTGCCTATGTCAAATAAGAATTCAAAAGCAATTTGAGTCATAAATCATAATCATAAACCGTCCGTGCCATTAATTATTTTATGGGAGCTGTATCCAAAATAAAAAATTTCTCTTAATTTATGTCATGTCTGTAGCCTGTGATTTTGTATACCTTGTTCATTACAGAGAAATATATATATTTTTTATTTTGAATGATAATAGTTTTAAAAGGTGTAATATGCTTCTAGTGTTGATCTTCCACCACGTCTGAGCTCGCTATGTTATCTAACTTTTTAATTTTTTTACAGACAAGAACCAAAAAAGCAGTTTAATGATGTCAGACACAGAATCAGATGCTATTTTCGAGTCACAGAGTGTGCCATTAACTATAAAAACGAATGGGATGATACCTAATGGAGTAAACAGAGGTGCTCATAACATACCAGCATAACAAAGTGTGACCTTGTTAGAATCATAATCATGGTGCATTTTTAAATCAGTACGAGGAAATGCATCTCGAGTCTTGGATTGAAAGTGGTTTTCATACATGTACTTATGTGTTATGTATGCCTAAATATAAACAAATTTTTAAACTTGAATACTCTGCACTGCTGTAAAATCTGTAAAAATTAGAATGTTTTGAAATATTTGTTCAGATATTGAAATGCTTCTGTGATTGATAACTAGTGAAATGATGGTTGTTAACTTGCTGTGTTTGTTTACTTGAAAAAGTATGAAAAATTATTTAATGTAATTACAGATGAAATATATCTATGATGAAACAAAAGTATATTTAAAAGACAATTATACAATGTTATGATTATTTTGATGGCACTAAATAATCCCGTATTGTAGTGTTTGTGCTGTTTCATTATTAATATTATTAAGGATTTGCATGGCACTCAAATTCCTTATATGCATATTTATTTGTGTTTAAAAATCTCCAGGGGGGAGGTGAGTAATGTAACTTATCAAATCACATAATGCAAGCTCTATTCACATAATTTATATATTATTTATCTGGTTGATTCTTTTCATTTCAAGCTTGGATGAACACATCATATCCTGCTTTGCATTAACCCTCATCCGTCTCCTGCATTTCAATAAGAACAAAGTTTTTAAGCCTTTGTGATTTTTCACATGCAGTGTTTTAACTACCGTTTTCCCCACGTTGATGGGAAGAAATGGAAAATGTACTTACAATTGTAAAAAGTTTTATGTTTTGATTTTTTCTTTACAATATATATTTTCCTCATGTCGTCTCATAAGAAATAAAATCTTGTTTCATACATGACTTAAAGATCAAATAATTTTTATCAATTAAATTACTAGAAAGATATTTTTCATTTCAGTACTCAAGAAAAAATTTCTGCAAACTTGACTAGTTATGAAGGTTTTAAATAAAGCTGAATAATTGATTAAGAATAAATGTGAGAGTTACTTCTCAGACTAGGTTGTTGATGTGAGGTGAAATTGATGTCTTTCAATAACAGTTTTAGAAACATTTAAATGTAGGGTATTGATGATAATAGCTTTGTAAATATTTATGAATTAAACTAAATAAACAAAAAAAATTAATACATAGGTGCTTACTTGGAGATCGTGTCATAGGGCTGTATTCATCTCCCAGGTCTCTTGTGTATCAGCGTTAAGACATCTGTCAATCACGTAGATAGAAATGTAAATCCTTTAGTTTGCCATGGATGCATATAAACATATTATGATTCATGTTTAGTTCTAGATTTCGATTTTTCTTGATTTTGTTTGGAATTCCAGTAAATGACCGCAGTAGTTCAGACAATGTATAAAGAGGCTATGGTATCAGGGATAGCAGCTTGTTGATGGGTTACAAATATTGAAGTTTTGAAAGATTGCTAACAGGAAAAAATTCTAACTGAAGTAAACGTATGGTAACATTTTTCCTCATATTGGAATGCCTGCATCAGAAATAAGCCCAATATTCAGTGAAATTAATTCAATGATTTTATGATATGTGATAAATACAAAAGCAATAATATTATTTTAAGGATAATATAATTGTTTCAAATGGAATATGAATGACTTATAGGAGTAATAATAAGGCTTGGTTATGTTTCTATGGGATATTGCTGTATTCTTTTAATAGATCTTGATCACTTACTGAATATGACCTCAGTCTGATGTAAAATAAAAGTAAGTAAATAAATATATTGAAGCATGGAAGTACTATGTATTGGCATTCTACATCTAATATAAAGTTGACATTTCGAAAAAGTTCACATGGCTTGAAATTAATAGAAAAGTGCGTTATTACAAAAAGCATTTTTACTACTACATGTTATTATAAACACTGTTATTTTTGCAGATTTTGAATACTTTATTTTTTAATCTTCAGTTTGCTCTTGTGAATATTCCTTCCTCTTCCTTTTCTAAATGTTACTTTTAACACTTAATGATTGTTTTAAAAATTAAAATGAAAAAGATTGTATTTTTGTTATGTTGCATTGCTTTGCAGTTTGTGAAGATTAGTGCTGTTTTTCAAAATACACATTATTATTTCAGTTTTTCTGTATTGGTAAAGCTGAAAATAGAAAAGTGCTGCTTTCTCTAATTGAGTTTTTGCATAATATTTTAAAACTAATGTTGCTTTAATAATGCAAAAACTTAATATTTTCTTATTTGTTTTTATGCAGTTTTGTATGCAGACATTCCTGTTTATTCATTTTTATTGTGTGTCCTATAATTGTAATGCATTAAGCTAATATTAAATGGTATTATTATTATTATATATATATGTCTTTAGTGATTATAAATTGGATATTGAATCTTTTGCCTTAATAGTCAAGTGCTGTATCTAATTTGCATAAGTTAACTACTTGTATATGCTTTACAAATTAATGCAGAAAAATATCACTTAATGTTTAATATCTTCAAATGCTAGAGATTAGCTAGGAATCTTGACTTCAATTAAGAATAAAAACCATACACATTTACTAATTTTGTATTATTAGTAGAAATATCCAAAAAGCTTTAGGATCTTTTTGTTGTTCAACCATTTACCATTTTAATTCAGGTTGAAAATATTTGCTTATTTTCATACACTTGCAGCATGAATTCTGTAGGATCCAGTAATTTTCTGATAGGAGCTTTTCTTCTAGTACAAACTTTACTGCTTTTTAGTACCTAACCTGTGTTACTGTTTTGATGATTTCTTCTCTGCTATCTGTACTAAAGAACTGATAATAATGATAAGGTAATAAGGATATTCTTCTCTGCTATCTGCCAAGCAAATGTGTTTTCTTTTGTTGGATACAAGCGTTACTGCAGTATGAGAGAACTTCCTAAAGAAAAGATAATAAGTCTTTGAGTTCAGACTGAATTTTTCTGACATTTATTTTTCTTGTGCTTAGTTCTATTAAGTTGCTCCATATTAAGGAAAAGAATTTTTGTCTTCTTGCTTGAATTGCAGTAAAAGTATGAGCAAACATTGCCTAAAGAAATATGTTTTCAACCATAGTTAATAATTTTGCTGTTACCTCATTTTCTCTACATCAGGTGTAAAATAGCTAAAATTGTAAGTATATTGTCCTTGGTATGAGTTTAGTGATAAGTCAAGTTGCTGATATTTGAATTCAATTTTTGTTACCAGGTATTTATAAGTTAGTGATTAAGAGAAAATTTCGCGTTATAGAATTGCGTAAAGTGCTCATAATTTTAAATAATAAACTGGTAAATATCTATGGTATTCATTCATATATGGAAGCTACTACATATATGGTAACTATTAGGCTATGGTAATGGTAACTACATGTAAACATTATATACACTGTAAATATCTCTATATTTCTTAAAATTTTTATTTTTTCTTTGCAGAGTTGAAAGTAAAATATAAATCTGTAATTTTTTCATGTTTTTAAATTTAAATTTTCCATATCGTATGAATTACAAAAACATTAAGCAAATTGCTTATACTCTTGATGCATTATTAAATGTAACCATCTTATCTGTCCTCATCTTTTCCCAGAATATGTAATTGCATTAGCTAAACTGAAGAAATGAAACAAGCTCACCTACTGAAGTTCGTGGTTTTTTGTTACAAACGCTGCTAAAGTTTTGTCAACCCTTTCATAATGTAACTGCAAAAAAGTATAATTTGCAAGTTATTTTTTATAGTGCTTGGGAAAATATGCTGTTTTTTTAAATCAACCTTGTTATTGTTGAGAACTTAAGATTGTGTGAAATATGAAATTTTGAGATACTTGGGTAATTTTTGCCATTTTTTTTTTTTTTTTTTTTTTTTTTTTTTTTTTTTTTTTTGTTATTTCTGTACTGATTGGCAATACCGTAGCATGAATTTACATCAGCAGTTATGGTTTTTCTGCATTTTTTTAGGTCATACATGTGTTGATCACAGCCGTAAGGGTTATGTTCATCTGTAGAGATTATATTTGAGGAAAAGTTGGCAATTTATTTTACACAAATTATGCATATTACATGTTTAGTCAAACTGATCTATAGCTCTTAATAAAGTTATAATCAGAATGATTTCCAAAATCCCTAAATATTTTAATTGCCTTTTCATTAGCTCCATCCCCCTTTCACTGTTAAAATAGAACTTTGCTTATAATGTTTCTTGAGCATGTATTTTTATTTTGTTATTTTTCTTCACAGTAAAGCAATTTATTTTCTAAAGTGTTTTCCTTGGGCTGATTCCTGTAAGATATGCGATAATGTCCTAATCCTAATTCCCTTTACCATCTGAAATAGTATTTTTAAATAATGAATTATAGTTTTCCGTCAGAAAGTTATTTTTAAAATACCTATGTATTTGGTGTCCAGGCTATCCTTTTGCTTTATTATTTTAACTGAAATATTAGAAACTGATGATAGTGGGAATATGCTTGAGATTGCAAATATAGAAGTTTTAGAAAAGCAGTTTTAGCAAGATATTGCCATAGCAAGCACATGTGTCAAGTGAATATAAGTTCAACTGATGAAGTTATAATTTGCTTCACATGTGTTCTGTGTATTCCAACTATACAATTTTATTGCAAATTGGTTATATCGAGGTAGACTTATGTCCCAGGACAGAAAATTGAGTAATTGGAAATAAGCAATTCTTTCCTTTTATCTAAAATTTTCAAATGGAAGCAATGTTTTTATCTTGCGGTTAAAAAGTAAAGATGTTGTGTATGGTGGTTATGTTGTGCTTTATGTTTTTGATAAATGCTTCAACTAATCGCCAAAAATTATTTTATTTGTATCATATATTTTAAAAATTGGGCTTTGATTAAGTAAATTTTGTTGTTTTAATGTAAAAAGAATTAAAATTCCATTGTTAAAATGGTTTATAAAGGTGTCAAGCGATCTTGGGTTTTTTATCAACCTTTGTTCATGTGCCATTGAATACATTTCTATGAATCATACATAATGTGTAGATGATTTAATGTGAAGTCATATGACTAGCATACTGGCTGATAATATAACCAGAAACAAAATCTGATTGCTAAATGTATTTATTTGCACTATGCATAAAATTCAGAAAATTATGTTTTAAGTCTACTAAATGCTTTTATTTTTTGGCTTCAATTCCATAACTTTTTAGGTAGTATATATTGAGAATAATTTTTTTTAGCCTGTTCAGGAAAATTTTATTAATTTAGGTAGTACAAAATGCCCTGCTTTTATTTGCTATTTTCAAAACATATTCAAAGCATGCTGTAAAAAATGCTACTCCTCTAGATGGTAGTTGCGAAAACATGAAAGGATATCCTTACGTTTTCTTTTAAAGGTCTAAAGTGAATAAATAATTTACAAAGTTATATGTGCAAAAGCAAGACAAGAAAGTTTATATGAGTGTATTCATTTGCCAAGTGCTAACAAATTTTGTATTAATGAGAAAGAATATATTTTTAAAAGTGCTTAAAAAAGGATGGGGAAATAGACTATGAAAGATAGTAGAACAAAGCAACTGAAAATATGTATATGAAAGACTTTTTGATGCTATAGCTAGATATAATTTATCACTTTTTGTAAGGTAAAATGATATGAGTCATTCACACAGCCTAGTTATTGAATTTTGAAAAGTTTGTTACTGAAATGTATTGTTTCATAAATTTGAAATCGTACAAGTAAAGTATGTGTGCAATATTTAAAAATGTCTACTAGGAAGTCATTGAAAAGCTTTGTGAATAAACCTTAATAATCCTTTAAAATTTCTTGAATATATTTTTGTGAAGGGGGCATAACTATGTAAATAAAAAAATTTTAGTAGATTTTAATGTGATTTTGTGAACAATGTTAAGTAATTTGGTTGCAGTTATGAGGTAAGAAAAGTGTACTATAAACTGTTTTAAATACAGATTTGAGTTCTTACCTTTCTGAAATATTCCAGAAATACACTTTTGTTAATTTTTAATATTAATGTTATGTATGCATCGCTAGCTTTTCTTAATAAGTAATGAAAGTGAGTAATTTTGTTTACAAGAACAACTAGATACTGCTAGCATCTAATTTTTCAAGAACATGAAATGACTCTTTATCAAAATTATAAGCTTATATGGAAAATCATGATTTGTTATTAATGATGTATGTTTATGTATGTTGTGTGTTTGTGCATTAATGTGTGTGTAAGTACATGAGATGTGAGAAACTTAATAAGGAATTTGGCGAGTGCAAAATATTTGAAAACAGCACTGGAAAAGTTATAAAATTTATTTGTGATGTAGTTGCTGGCAGTATGTCAAAATGCAATTGGAAAGCTCTGTGAGATATTTTAAACCTCCTGTTAAGGCATGATAAATGTCAGTGGCATACTTGCCTCCTCATTGATTTTTTCTCTTTTAATATAGATTTTCTGTAAAAATTTATTTCTTCACTTTATCTCTTCCCCCTCTCTCTTTTTACCCCTTCCCATATTGGTGGAACTCAGACCAACAATACTTTTTTCATTTTTTATTTGTGGTTATAGAACAAGCGTTCCATCCAGTAGTTGTAGTAGTCTTTTTTGCTATGATAAGGATTATGTATTTTGTAGATGTATAGTATCAAGATGTACTGTGATTTGCAACTGCTATTTTTTTCCTCTTTGAGGCATTTGAATATAAATATGTTATATAAAACAACTTCATTTTGAAAAGTATGTTGTAATAAATATATATTGTATGATTATACATCATGTATTTTTTTATATATTTTTATTTTATATTTCTGAATTTTTTTTTATGTACATAGCACACTCCAACAATTTACAATTGTATTAATATGGAGTTTATAACTTTAATATACGTTAAGGCTTTATTTTACAATATCTGAAGTTTTGTGCAAGATGTATTTAATTTATTGCTTTTTAGTAAAAAATGTGTAATTAATTACAAAAAGTGGAAGTAATACAATTTTTGTCACAAAAGTACTGAGTAAAATATGTGTATGCTTGGAGAATTAATATAGGAAATATCCATGCTATGTGACTTGGTGAGCTTTGCAAAGCTACACACACACATATACATTTACTCACTGTAAGATTTTTCTATGTGTGTGTATATGCACACATATAATGTATATATCAGTAAGTATCTTTTCTAGTCATATTATTGTATATTATTTGAATCATGTGAAAAAATATTCAATAAAGAATTTTATCGATTATACATCAGTGTGTATTTTTGTATTTGTAATTTGTATATTGTAATGTTATTATTTTAAATTAACCAGTTATTACAATTTTGGTCTTGAACTTCTTTTTTCATATTCTTCACCAAAATGCAAATTAGTTTTGAGTATTTAAGTTGAGGTTTCTATATTTGAAACAGAGAGTTTGTCCGGTATTTGCATGTTAAGTGGTTAGTTTCTGCCAGTTCTAGTAGTTGTAATTATTCAGCTTGCTCGGCACTATTACTCGCGTATGATACTTTAGATACCGATAAATTTATTGAACCAGCTTCTAGCTTAGTATTAATTGTGTGGGCTTAGACTGCTGTTCAATGTTTAATTTAAATTAAATGTTCTTATTTGCATCACCACGAGGTGTGACTATTGTAGCACAAAAGTATGCCTTTATGGTTCCAAGTTCTATGTAAAAAAAAAGGTGGTTTATAACCATAAAGACTTTGTCATTTATCTAAGATATGTGTTAACTCGCTTCATGTCTGTTAGGGTTATAGGTATTTTACCAGATCAAGCATAACTATTAATTTTTACACATTTATTTATTAAAAGATATAATTAAACACAATTTTAATTCTTTTTCAAATCTATGTATCTATTTTAACAAAATAATGTAATAATTCATACCAAAGACTATTTCTTCAGCTGTTTGTCTAAATTGTTATAATTATCTATGTAGATGTGTGTGTGGGTACATATATATGTGTGTGTGTGTGTAATTTGTGCACACACAATACTTTTTACTGTAAAATTAAATTTTGCTCATATGTGTTTTATGCTAATTTAATTTCTGTAGCAAATTATTTTATTCTGTCTGCAACATCTCCAATGTTTTTAAAATTCCCATGATAAAAGTAACAAACACACTTTGAAATTAATAATTTTTTATTAGAAATAATTCCATTTATGCTAGAAGGGAGAGAAAAAGAGAAAGAAACTGTTTCCATGCAAAACAAAGTATTAGAAAATTTTGTAGCATTACCAAGGAAGAAACGTTAGTTCTGAAAAGTGGTAAATTATTCGCATAGCAATGAAATGTGTGATGTTATGGCGTGTAGCAAACAGATCGTTTTCGAAATGCTGTTTATTTTGTTGGTTGTTGATTAAAAATTTAAACCTGAGAGTTCTGAAAATTCCTATTTTTGTCATTAATATCAGTATAAAATAAAATTAAATATCTTCTGGTAAAATCTATTCTGGGTTGTTCTAGTAATTTTTTCTGATGCTCTTTTTGTTTCAATGTAGTATAGTACAAAATAGCAAAAGAAAAGTGTGCTAAATTTAATAATTATAATTTAATATTATGTCACTTCAAATTAATGTATTCAAGTTGGTTCTGTTTATGATTTTAATAATAATACAATTATAACCAGGGGGATTAGATTAGTAAAAGGAAATGAGTATCTGATTGGGAAATCTAGCTTTGATATGTTTACATACGTATTAATTATATTACCTAACAAATAAAAAAATATGAAAGTCATTTAGCGCCAAAATATTGCAATCTTGCAATGTAAAGTACAATTTTGGTTTGCATGTAAATTGATCTGTGAATATTTTGAAAGACGAGCAAAAATTTATCAATTTTTAGTTTGATAAACAAACTAGATCTTGCAGTATGAGTAGTACGCACAGTACCCCCTGCTTATTAACTTCGTTGTATAATAAAATCAGCTGCTTATTACCCTCAGATTTCCAAGAACCAAAACAAATATTTACTAAATAGAAAAACTGCTGTTTATTAAATTCATCTCTGCAACTTATAAAATTGAGGTTGACAAAGACTTTCAGTGTCAGAATATCCTCTTTCTGCTGGTCAAAGCTCTGTGTAATTTATCTTTCAGGTATGTAATGTTTCAATAACAGGTTTGACTGAATTTTTTCTATCTTGGGGTCCTTGTACCTGCGTGGCATTGCAGAGCACTTGTTTTCTTCATACTGGAGCTCAGAGGGCCAAACTTCTTTATCTTAAGTTTAACAGAACAATCCTGTAGAGGCACTGTAAACGAGTGAGTGTTCCTTTTCGAATATCATTTAATAAGTGCAACTTCTGCATCCCATCTTTTAAAGTTCATGCATTCAAAGTCTTTCGTTTGGAATGCATGCATTACATGTTCATTCAACATTGGCATGCATGTTCACAGAGAGTTTCTGAAATGTTTCCTAGAGCGTGAAATTGATAAACAGATTTCGGAATGGTTAGAGAAACAAAGGATATGCCTTTATCCATTTTTTGAAGCAATTCCACTTTTTGTTTGATGGACATTGCAACATGCTTTCGCTTTGTGGATCCTTTGGTAGCTCCAAAATCGGAAATTCTTTTTGACATAATTGAAAGTTCAAGCTTACTTTTATAAATTTGCTCTAACATTCTGCAAGAAATAATAATCCGGATCCAATTAGAAGATTAAGGAACAACACAATCTGCAACATTAACTGAAATAGATAATTTTAGCTTAGCTTATACCGTCCGTTATACATTAAACGCAGAATGCTTTTATGCATGCGCAGCAAGCTTGTAGCTTTGAGGTCCGGATTAAAGACTTTTGACTGTAATGATTTTGAAACAATAGCATTATCAAAAGATACTATTTCTCGCCAAATTTCTGTCATATCAGACACTATAGAATACAGAATCCTGTCTGTACTATACTACTTGATGAAGCTACCGACATTACTAAAATGTCTCAATTCATTGTTTACCTGAGATACGTTTTTGAAGACGACGCAGTAGAATATCTTTATGTTGTAATATTTGGGAAGGAAAAGCAACTGGAAAGAAAATATTTGAAATTATTAACAGATATTTTGAAACGAATAATCTTACCTAGATACTCTGTGTCGCAGTTTGTACTGATGATGCTGCAGCATTAACAGTAATTATAAAAGACTAAGAGGGTTAATAAGGAAAATTGCTCCCCATATAATATTCAACCATTGTATGACACATAGACGAGCTCTTGTTGCAAAAGACATTGATGAAGAATTGCACAAGATATTGCAGGGTTATTACTGCAATTAATTACATTAAAAGGCAAGATCCTAAACAGTTGTATCTTTTTAATACGCTGTAATGAGATAAGTTCTGTGTATGATACATTATTACCACAGTTGGCTTTCTCACAGAAAAATACTGCGACATATTTTTGATTTGAGAAATACAGTTTATATATTTTTGGAAGAAAAGAAACATACATCAGCAAGTTCATTCATTAACCGCTTTTCTTAGAAATTTTTTTGAAAAATCTTGCAAAAAATCATCAAATTTTTTAATTTTATTATTAAATACAACGAAATGAAACAAATCAAAATATGTAGCTTTTTAATTGAATTTTTAATTTTTTGAAGGTGTAAAAGCATTTAGTTTTAAAGTAGTTTACTATCCCGAGTTATCTCTGGCAAATGAAAAAAGTTAACTAAGTTTACATGAAATGTAGGATAAAATTTTACAAACTGTATAAACTATTTGTGATAATAAAAGGAACAACAACATCACAAACAGTATTGGCTATATTTTACTGCACAAACACACACATTCCGTAATTGATTTTGTATTTATAAAAAATCAGTTGATGGTCAATAAGTGACAGTTGACCCTTTCCGGTGCAGTGTGTTCAGAGTGAACACACCAAAAATATTCCCTCTTTAGACACCAAAAATAATCGATAACTATCACGAAAACTACACTAATGCTTACTTTTAGTCTTTTCTGAATAATAGATGGCAGCACCACACAAGCAAATCATTAACGTTGAGTTATATTCTGTTTTAAAGACACTGATTTTTCAAAGAAATGTTTCAGATTTTTTTTAAATATAAAGAATATCAATGAAAAAAAAATATTTATATAATTTTGTTGTTCGTATGCTAATCTGCCTATTCTGTATCTTTGAAATAGTGTGTTCAGACTGAACACACTGTACTGGTAGCACCTGTCAGGTGGGAGTGAGTCACAGAATCTGATCTTGTGCTTCAAGCACTAGGGAAGGCTGAGAGTTCAGATTTATTTATATTTGTTTTTATTTTTTTCTGTTTTTGGTTTTGATGACCCCGGTTTTCAGTTAGCTATTTGATTTTCAGCAATAGCCGACCTTTTTTTTCTCTTGCATTCATCGTGCAGAGTTTGCTTAGTTTTGATTTCTGTAGATTTTTATTTGTATATATATTTAATCATTATTTCTTCTAGTCAATAATTAATTGTAAATATTATAGTATTTTAATTATTTTGCTTATAAATTTTAAAATTGTGTAAATGGCTCAGAGAGGCCTCAGCATTGCTGAAGCAATGAGAGTTTCCTTTTTTCTTTCCCCCCCCTTTTTTTTTTTTTTTTTTTTTGTGGGATGTAGAGTAGCAGGCCTCCCCGTGGTGCACCCTGGGTTATGCTAAATGTGCTACAGAGATCAGATTCTACTGTTTTTATATCTTAGACAAAGTATTTTACTGTTAATACGTGCTTTACAGCAATGTTCACCTATTGCAGCTCGTGCGGCTCAGTGTGCTTGCTTCGGACATACCCATAAAATGGAAATGGTTTCTGCAATCTTTGTAAAATTATACCTGCATACTCTCCTAGGCCTAATTAGACTGTCTAGAAATTTTTTTTGGTAAAATTCCAACTTTAAAGAGTAGCGTGCCGGAAAGGGTTAAATGAAAACACATATTTTGAAGAAATATGAAGAATAATTTTTCTAACATTCTATGGAAAACTACGACGCTGAACCTCACAAAGACACGCTCCTGAGCCGGGAATCTATTCATCTCGACAAGAATTAATTATTCATTTTCTTAGTCTTTCTTCATTTCTTCGAAAATGATATATGTTTTATGTTATTTTTTGAATGATTGGAACAATTTGTTGCAGCATATCTACCCATTTTTCTCAAAATTAGGTCAAAATCAATCAACAAACATGTCAACAAAACAATACTGATCCAATGGCAGATAGCAACGAGTGTGTACGACGAGTCATTTCATTTTATCGGAGTCTTAATGCTGGGCTGTACGTCAACAAACTGTGATGAGGCAGGCAACAAAACTTTGATTTATGTACACAACTGCATCTTTCCACATGGTTCCTTGCTACTGCATGTTTTTGATTATAATTTTCTTATATGTATGAAGTGGGATTTATGTATGGTGTCAAAAGCCAAGGTTTCAATGGATAACCTGTATCACCTGAAATATTAAAAAAATAAGTATATGGAAATAAAAATACCTCGTACAGGTGGGGAAATCTAATATCAGATTGCAAAAAGAAAAAAAATCTGTCACTTATTACAATGCAAAATAATTTTAAACTCACAAATCCAAAGGAAAAAATTCATAATTTTTGTACATTCCACCAATATTTTAATTATTACTTATTGAAAAAAAAAGGATATTGGTAAATACTACTATATAACTAAAACTGGCATCACGCTTTAACTATTAACATATATCAAGTCTCTGTAATGTATCAGTCACATGTTGATACTGGTAATCTAAGATTTGGTATAATATACTATATTAAAACACTAGCACATAAAAAATTGCATTTGTTTATTATTTCTGTAACATTAATACTATAACAAGATATAAATAATCCATCCTTAATCTGCGAGAATAATATTATAACAATAATGCAGACAAAATTAATCAAAACTTGCTATGAATTGAAAAATTGGTACTCTTCTGTTGCCAGGACTGAATGTATGTATGTACGTGTATATGTGCATATATGTGTACACATATACATACGTATGTACATATATAGACACATATACATTCATTTCTCAATCTGGTTTCGATAAGAGAAGAGCACCGAAAAATCTTATTTTAGGATTACATGAATTTAGGAAGTACTGCTGACATTCAGTTTCTTCCCCTGCCCCTGAAAAATGTTTATTTGTGCTTCATGTAATTTCTCAGAATAGTAATATGTTTGACAAAATGATTGTGCTTATTTCTTTCTTCAATTAATTTTATTATAAAATTTTGGGTACGTACCTATAAGCCAATAGTTTGTCCCTCCCTGCAGTGCCAAGAAGTTATGAACTGCACTCTGTCTCCTATGAACATGTCATAAACACAATGAGAACATTTTGCATTTATTGCCAGGATTTTCATATTATGATCGGAAACCCTCAACATGTTAATGGGTTACAAAAAAAGATCTTATCGAAAGGCTTAAATGAGAATAAAGGAAATATAATGTTTATCAGGATTTTAGAAAAACATATGTTTGTTAACTTTCAAATGTGTTTTGAAAGTTATTAAGCTAAATGATAATCTATTTAATACAAGATAATAATCTAGTTAATATGAAATAATAAATATTCTCAATAATATAAAATTATTGAAGAGTTTTAATTAATTAAAATCATTTGGTTTACTAAAAAAAATTAATTACATAAGCATTATACAAATACCATTTCAAATTTATTCAATGACACATTTTTATAACATTATGAAAGCTGAGTTATTCAAAACTAATCCTATTTCAGAAAATTCTCAGTATACAGTTTTATAGTTTTACGTATATGTAACAGTTATGAGTACACTCTCATAAAAATATATTAACATAACCTCATTTTTGGTGTCAAAAATCAGGATCTGAAAGAGATTAAAAATGTAACACCTACTGTTTATATATATATATATATATATATAAACTGTATTAATCTATCACATGAGAAACTTCCAATATTTTCACACGATGCTGCTAAAATAGCATAATAGTAGCATATAGGTGAAGTAAAATGGAGAAAAGAATACTGTATTTTCAAACAGTTTCATAACAACATATCCTTCGTAAGAAGAAACAGGATATTTTACATCAGTAGGTAAAAAATTACAATCCCTTTTCACTTGAATTTTTAAGCACTATAATTAGATAAAATATTAACAGATGACTTCAAGAATAATATCAAAATCTAAAATCTCAATAATCGTAGTTCGTTTCTAAATAATACTGTAAATGAATTCAACTAGTTATCTTTTTCACATCCTGATTTTTGACAACAAAACACAAATGAGAATATTTTAGACGCCAAAGATTTAATTTATTATGAAAACCAGAGAGAAATTTAACTAACATATTCTTTTCTGTTTACTATTATACAATTCGGAACTTAATTAAGTAATGTTTCAGGTGATACATAAAAAATATTCGAAGCATAGACGAATTTATAAAAAAAAAATATTTCTACAATTGCAATTGCTCAGAAAAACAGAAATCATGATACATGTAGAATATAAAAATATAAATTATAGAATAATCGATTAAATTACTTACAATTTTAGACTGAAATTTCAACAATTCAAACAAGTAGCGGAAGAGGTTTAGTATTGGCCCTTTTGGCTATTTTTTGATTTGGCGACAAACTTCGGTTGCCAAGGTAGACCCGGTTTTGAAAATCGGAAAAGAATGGCGGATTGTCAACAAAACGCGATCACGACACAATAACAATCTTAAAAAATAAGCTCTTAATTAGAATAAACAGTCTTTCTCTAATTTTCAACATTTCCAGTACTGCTATGATAACTTCTTGAAACACTACCGTAAACGAATTTATGGCGGTGATTATGTTATGAGTAATGAAATTTCAAAAGGTTAATATTTTAAATTACAAAATATAATATTAATGTATTAAATATTAATTTTAAGTAATTAGTTTATATTTATATTATATTATAGCATTTTAGCAAATTTACAAAAGGTTAATTTTTATGATATGAATAATGAAATTTACAAAATTTTAATAAATGCATTTCAAACTAGTATATGTTACTTTAGTTATTAGATTCTGTTATTAAAAGAAAATAAAAATAAAAAAAATTTCAAAATGAAGGAAATCAAATTAAATTATGACGAGTAAATATTTTACCAGTGTTAGAAATACTTTATGATTAAATTTTGTAAATGGTAAAAATATTAAGAAGTGTGTATTTTTTAATCACTCAATTTATTACAAGTAATTTATGATTATAATTTAAAAGCTAAAATTAAATTATCATAATGAGTAAATTTTGTGCCAATGGTAATCAGAAACAACAACAATCATCATAACTGATGATTTCTGTGAAAGATTCGAACAGTCATTGGAATCCACTAGTGGTGGAGTGATAAGACACTAATCAGTTGGTAGTTCAGGCTGGCTATATGGGAGTTTTTGTAGTTTTCCTTACATGGAATGTGAATCTGAGCCAGTTTCTCTTAAAATGACCTTTATGAAGGCATCCTTCTGCTAGCCAGCATATATATTTATTTTCTATTCATAAATATTCTCTCTTCTTATTTCTTAATTCTAAATCTTACTTCTGAAGTGAAGAAGTGTTGCATCTATAGGACGAAAAGTATGGTAAATATGTTTGCAAAATCCTGTTCAGTTTTTGACAGCATTTAAATAAAATAAATAATTTGTATATGATGCAAACAGAAATGCACTACACTATTTCATGTAGTGAATAATTAATCAGGGAACAAATTATAATGTAACGTTCTTTTATTTTGTAACCAGAGTTTTTTTTATGTTTGGGATCTTAACTGTCAATTGCCCATCCGTTTTCCGACCAAAATCCGAAGTTTTTAATTTGTAAAATAAACTGTGTTTTGCCTTTAGAGACCATGTTACTAGGATGCTAGATAAGATAAGATTTGTAGTCTTCAGTCCTGCATTACAATTGCTGAGAGTTGAATTCCATGCTGGTTAAGTTTTGAACCAACTTTGCATTAAATTGATTTGTGTAGCCTTTGGCTACAAATTTATTTCAATTTTACATTGGAACTTTGTTATCATAAGTTATCTTGCCACAAGGTGGTTGACTGTAAGCACAAAGTGTGCCCTGTTCAATACATTTAAATTTTTTAATAGAATAAGAGTATATCTTAATAAAAATATATCTAAACTTTATAAAATTACATTTAAAGACATTGAAATCAGTATGTAAGTGTATCAGGTTCAGTATTCCGCCTTACTTGCTTTGGGAAAAGTCAAGAACCTGACTCGGAACAGGGAGCTTACTAAAGCTATGTTCAATAAATGTGGGAAGTAGACAAGATACACAGGAAGGGTATACGAAACCCTTTATTCTTCACTCTTTACAATGATTTTCGGACTTCGGAATACAGAGACCAACCACTTGTGGTCTGAACGTAAGAATATAAAAATTTTAACTAAACTCTAACTTAACTTTGGAATAACAAACAAGGGCCTCCGAGAAGATTGGCCGTATATTAACAGGAAGCCGTATGTAGTACAGAGAACTGATTAACACTACAATACGTTTAAAATTATCAAGAGGATTAAACCTCTGGCCTGGAAGGCAACCAGCAACCGAGTAAAAACTGCTAAGGCAAGCGGCCTGCTTCTACTCAACTCCTTCCTCTTCGCTTGCTTGGCAAAAAGCCACAACTTAAGTACTTGGCGTTCGCCAGACAAATTTGCATAAATAAGTTAAAGCTTTTAATTCTGGCCGGAAGTAGAAAATAAGAAGTGATAGTAAAGATTTAAAATAAAATAAACGTTAGTAAAACTTAAGATCCTTACATACTTCCCGCCAGAGTTAATTAGTTTGAAACTGAGGTCTAAAACGACCTTGTTGAAAACTTTTAGCTCTAGAATCTAACGCGAGGCCAATCTTTTACAAACATTCCTCACTAGAAACTAGAAATTAAAAAAAAAAAATTGTTTTTACATTATCAGCTCCATGGACAATTACTTTTCATCTGTACTGCATCTAAACAGGAGCTCTTAGTTGAAATCTGGTTCCTTCCAGAGATCTGGAAGGAAAACTAGTTTAATGAAATGTTACACAATTAAATGGCAAGTAACATGAATATTTATATTTCTTCTAACATTCTTATTTCATTCATGACTTTATTTAACCCCTTAACTGCCGCGGGCGTATATATACGCCTTGCTCAGCCGATGCGTTAACTGCCCCAGGCGTATATATACGTCCTTCCAAACTGCTATCATTTGCTTTGCGCTGCTACACCTAAAATTATTCGCAAAGTTAACGCATCTGGGGCAGTTAACGCATCGGTTGAGCAAGGCGTATATATACGCCCGCGGCAGTTAAGGGGTTAATTATCTCTCCCCGTGCTCTCTGACATGTGTTGTAAAAGAAAACACCAAACACGAATGTGTTTATGTACAAGTGTTCAACACTACCGCCTGCAATCAAAACACTAACGTGTTAAAAATTCAACATAACAAGACCTCATAACACACCTTATCTTCATCTCTAAACCCTGAGGTACTATTCTGAAAGTGGCTAACTCTGAAGTGTAGCGTCAGAGAGCCTAACTACATTCATTCAACCTTTAACACATATTCACAATAATTTGGCTCTTTTTACAGTCACACGAATAAGTTTAAAATTTTTGGCATTACTTTCACTTTTACCATATCACAGTATTTCTTAACATTTAAAATAACAGTTCACATTGTATATAAGGACATATTAACATGCCGTTAATTTTACGCAATTTAAAACATACATTAGTAGTACATTGTTAACTTCTTATTCTTTTCCAAGCAAGTGCCAATTCTTCTACATTGAAATACTATCTACATTTCAAAAGTCTTTCAGACCAAAACTTCTTTCTTGCCAGAATCTTTTAAATAAAATTTTATACAATAACTTTTACAATATTCAAGTATTATACATTCCTCCTATTATACATCAACTTTTAGTTTTACTCGCGAGTAATTGAAAAACATAATACCAAAATAGGTAACAACTCATTTCTCGCCTTTTTGGCGATAAAGGTAGACCTCACATGAGGTAAAACGTCTTGAATTCTGCCACTTGCAGTAAGAATGAAAGATTAACTTAAGGTTTGCAAAGTAACATAAAATTTTACTTATCTTTGTGATATTCGGACATTCTTTTTTCTGCCCAGTCCTGGAAGGTAGCGAAGATTAGCGTTTGATTTATCTTCCTTCTTGTGCGGGCTCGCCCTTCAGTTCCTTCCTCTAGGAGCTTTCTTTTCCCTCCAGTTCGGTCACCCTTGAATACCTTCTTTTTCGCCTCTGCCTGTGGTCTTGGCCGTTTGATGGCAGCTGGTCTTGGCGGAACCGGGACACTTCTCTCTCGTTCCTGCTTGGATCTCGTTGCTGGCCGTTCAAATTTTCCTTGTATCTTTTCCTCCGCCGCTGGTGTTCCTTCCGCAATTCGGCGACATTTGCTGCGTAGAGTCCTGTCCGATGAGTAGATCTTCCGTTTGGGAGCCGGGTTATAGTTGCCGTTTTCTCCTGGCTCTCTTTGCATTCGTCGTACTTCTCCCTTCTTCATTCTGGGGGTGGTCGTGCGCTCTCTTTTCTGGTCGGTGGAACGGCTTCTTTTTCTTGTTACCTTCAATTTTCCAACGGGGAAACTTTCTTTTCAATTGCTCCTGCCTCCTAATGGCTTGTCCTTGTGCTTGTCGTTGTTCCACCTCTGGAGCTTGTGCCTGCCGTGCCGGATCCTGCAAAAGATCTTTAAATATTTGCATTTTATTACGATCATAGTAAGGTTTTATCTGGTCAATGTTTGCGGAGCATGTTTCACCATTCCTGGCTTTTAACATCACTACAGCCTGAGTTATTTTTTTCTATGACATATGGTCCTTCAAATCGTGGAAAAAATTTGGCGGTTTTATCTTCTGGTGCTGAAGAAAGTGAATGCTTAATTTTTAATACTTCATCTCCTACTTTATAAGTTACTCCCCGTCGTTTCAAAATCATAATAAGCTTTTTCTGTTTTCTCTGTGCTACTTCAGTGTTCTTTTTTGCTTCTTTAATTAATTTTTCTATATCACCCATTTTAAATTCTGGGGCTCTTTGTTGAACATAAAATAATTTATCTAACGGCGTTATAATCTTTCTGCCTAAAAATAACTCAGCAGGAGTTTTGCCCGTTGTATCATGTTTTGCGGTCCTAAGGGCGAAAGCTAATTCATTGACATAGTTATCCCAGCTTTTATGAAAATTTTTAACATAACTACGGATAATTTTCACTATATTTCTATTGACCCGTTCCGCTATATTTGATTGCGGCCGATACGGGACCATTTTTAAATGACGTATGCCCAGTTTTTGGCACATGTCTTCAAATATATTACTTACAAATTGAGGACCATTATCCGATATAACTTTTAGGGGCGCCCCGTATTTTAAAATATATTTATTTAAAATAGAATCAGTAACTAATTTCGCGGAGGCTCGTTTTAAGGGAACAATTTCGGTCCACTTACTAAAATGATCAACCATAACAAGGAGATAGCGACTTTTATTTAACTGACTTTTTGGGAAAGGGCCCAATAAATCGATGCCAATTATTTCATTTGGAAATTCGGATTTAATACTATTTAGAAACCCGGCCGGGCGGAAATTAATATAATTAACTGCTTGACATGTTGGGCAGGACTGGACATACGCCCTTGTTAACTTTTGCAGTTCAGGAAAATAAACTGCTTCGCATATGCGTTGGATAGTTTTTCGAATACCAGCATGAGAAGCTAAAGAGCAGTCGTGCAACTCCTGCAGGATATTTAATCTAAGACTAGCTGGGATAACAGGTCGAA